ATGAAAGATTAGATGCAAAGTTTTAGTATTATCTAGCAACCTATCTCTAGATTTGTAACCAAAAAAATAAAAACATTATACAAAAATATGTACATGAATGTTCATAACAGCATTAAGTACAATAGATTTAAAAAAGTGTTAACAATGTAAATGTCCATGAATATGAACAGATAAACACCATATGATATATCCATCTGCAGGAATATATCTGCTCTACAAAGAATATATCTGCTCTACAAAGAATATATCTGCTCTACAAAGATATCAATACCATTTTGTTACATCATGGTTAAACCTTGAAAACATTATATTACCTTGAAGTAAGGGAATTACAAAATACCACAAAATGTACAACTCCACTTAAACAGAGTCCAGAATAGGCAAATGGAAACAAAAAGTCACCAGGTTTGATGGTGCATGTCTTTAGCCCCAGCACCTGGGAGGCTGAGACAGGTGGATTGAGGCCAGACTGGTCTATGGAGCGAGTCTATACAGAGAGTTTCAGGCCAGCCAGGGCCACAAAGTGAGACTCTGTCTCAACAAACCAACAAACAAAAAAAACTCTCAAAAAAACAATCAACAAAAAATTATTGTTTGGGGCTGAAGTAGTTGAGAAAGAAAAGAGTAAGTTTTAGCTAATGAGTGAGGGTTTCTTTATGGAGTGGTAAAATGCTCTAAGATTGATTGTGGTGCTGACTGTACAACTATATGGATACATTAAAAATCACTTTATATGAATTGTATTTTATGAGAATCACATTTCAACGAACATGCTGGAAATATGAAGCAAAAGGATGTATCAGTTACCTTACTATTTTTCTAAATTTCCTAATTTTGTGATATTTATCAGTTTTAGTTGTCATAATTTGTGATTTTTCCCATTCTATATATTCATACTAGTAAAAAAATGTTTTTCCGCATGTTGTTACCCATGTAAACTTAATGACACGCATAAATTATACACTTAAAAAGGCTGAATTTTGTTACATGTGAATTATTCCAATAATGTTAAATTTCCTCCACTACAGAAAAGTATCCCAAGGATAGTCTCTCAAGTTAACCCTAAAACAATCTTAGGCTAGCTGCCCTCTGGACATATAGTACTTCTAACTATGCAACCAGTAAAAGAGAACAACCTACATTAAAAAGATTTAACAGCACTGTGAAAAAAAAAAGTTGCTATCTCAATCAAGCTAAACACTCAAGTTCAGAATTAGACCATTGGAATATGTTACAAAAATGTACGGAGATAAAAAAATGTTACCACTTTCTCTTAAAAGCTAAACTCTTGATTCAGAATAGATTGAGTTTTGTGGGTTTTTTTTTTTTTTTTTTTTTTTTTTTTTTTGAGACAGGGTCTTCCTGTAGCCCCAGCTGGCCTGGAACTTGCTATGTATAC